GCCGCGCATCAGCAAAAATCAGCCGTGCATCTGCAAAAATCAGCCGTACATTGGCAAAAATCAGCTGTACATCGGCAAAAATCAGCCGTACATCTGCAAAAATCAGCTGTGCATCGGCAAAAATCAGCCGTGCATCGGCAAAAATCAGCCATACATCGGCAAAAATCAGCCGTACATCGGCAAAAATCAGCCGTACATCTGCAAAAATGAGCCGTGCATCGGCAAAAATCAGCTGTGCATCGGCATAAATCAGCCGCACATCGGCAAAAATCAGCCGCACATCGGCAAAAATCAGCCGCGCATCAGCAAAAATCAGCCGTGCATCGGCAAAAATCAGCCATACATCGGCAAAATGCATTCGGCTCGTCTATTCTGCTCGGTACCTACAAGGTACTGAGCAAAATAGAACATAAGTGAAAAGAAAGGGGAAAAAAATAAGTAGAAAAAATTATTTTAAATATGTAAATAAATAGGAGTTAAAAAAATATACATGTACCGATACTTTTGAGCTCCAAGACTAGACTAGAGAAAAATTCAAAAATTAGGAAGCCGCTGTCATGTGTAAGGAGCACACGGAGCTCCCGGTATTTGTACATCTCTGTTTTAATGTACGATTTTGTTTTTATAAATATAAATAAAGGGATGCACAGATACCAGTTTTGCGAGTACGAGTACTGGCACTTGCCGAGTACTTACAAGTACGAGTACTGATACATTTTTGTTTATTGTTATGTGACAGTTTTTCTAAAACAATACAGACTAATGATTTCAGGACAGTGGTGGAGCGCCAGAGCCAGGTCCCCGCTGCAACCGCTGCAACCCTGGTAGTTCTCATGAAAATGCCAAGTATCTGCACTGGTACTCGAAAAGTATCTGTGCATCCCTAATTTTAAAGAAAAGAAAAACAATTGGGCGGAGCTAGCGGTGACAGCTAGCTCCGCCCAACTGTTTCCTGTTAGCCGGCACCTGCCAGTCTTCTAGCAGGTCCCAGCCAATGAATCACAGCTTATTGTTTAATGATAGCTCAGCGTCCCCAGGTTATGTGGGGACGCTGATCTGTCATTACAACTGGGCGGAGCGAGCCATGAGATCACGGCTGGCTCCACCCAGCTGTCATTTGCGTGGAGATCGGTCGGCTACGGCCGACCTTTCTCTACACTTCGGCTCGGTCGAGGCAAAGCATATGCCTTCGGCTCGGCTGCTGTATGGGCCATTGTGAATAGCCCGTACAGCAGCCCTTTGGACTGAACCAAAGTGCAGAGGCGGCTGAAGG